ATTTGACACTTCTATTTAACAAAAAATCTGCAAACATATATTAAATACGAGCCTCTGTTCAAGTCCGTGATCAATTTAAAACTCCTTAACACACTCTAACTAACTCTTTGATTGTATTTTCAGCGCGCTAAGTTCCCTTTTATATATTCAAATATAATAAAGTTCGTCTTCAAACGTTTGTTAATGAAAAATTAAAAAAAATCCTTTCATATAAAATCGAATTAAAGAGTTCTTCACAAACTGAAATCCAATGTAATCGCATAATACAGACCCTGTAAGGCCTTTTTGCTTAGGAAAATTTCGCTTAACACTCTTTGAGCTCATATAATCCCATTGTTGATGTGAAACAAGTAAAATAGGGTTTATATACTTTTCAAGCTCCTACTGTATTTTCTCCGGTTCACTATTTAAAAAGGAAACTCGAAAACTTTTACTTATTTATTGTTATTTGTGTTAAATGTTGGAAACGTTTATCTAGTTTTTATAGATTTAATGAAACAACCTATATATGTCCTATGCTTTGCTCCTCTAACTTTTAAGAGGGTTTTAGTGCATATATAATAGTAAAACACGCTGACTAAAAGCGAAACTTTAAGTGGACTTTAAGAACTTTAAGTGTCGTCAAAATTTTTCTTATATCTTTGACATCTACTCATGATGTTTTCCTGGTACCTCAGACAAACAAAGAAAGAAAGATACTCGTAGAGTGCTGCGTATATTTCAGATCATAGAAAAGAAAGAAGCTTCTTGACACAATCACGTAGAGAGCTTTCTTTATCAGCCCGCAAAAGTATACAGATAGATGCGCAATTAAAACTTTTTTTTATAGAATAAGGGTGACAAACGAGCACACAGTCCACATGATGGTAAGTGGATGCTGAGGCCCATAGACATCTACATTTAACCCCAATTAAGATTCAAAACACAAGTGTGTTGTCACCCGTCAGGATTAAGATGGAATGCCTCGTTTTTAGTAAAAAAGGGTCTCCGTATCTCTACACTCACCATACGAAACACGGCAGTATTAAGCTGCTATTTTATTACAACCATAATATAGCTGCTGTGTGGCTCTACCACGTATGAAAACCTGGTTTACGGTTGCTAGTGATTTGGGATGCATATGCGTACCTGAGTGCGTGTTCTTACTGTAACGTGAGCATAGTGTTAGCGTGGTTTTATCTTGCAGTGTACACAGAGCTCCGTCTATCTTACTTCATTAGTCTGAGTGTAGTACATAATATATCTATGTACCTATGTATGACAAATATTTATTATTTTAGATATATTCATATTGTTATTTTTATGTTGTTTATGTTTTTATACTCTTTAAGAAGTACATGATATACGTATCAGCTATTTGTATACGCTTACAAAATTTGCATTTATATTATTTATGTATTCTTATATCCACTCTTCTTCTTACATTGATCTATCACATAACCCCAAGGTAGACGTAGAGAAGTAGAGAATGCCTCATACATTAAATCCGCCTTATACTATGTATGTATATGACGGTCTAAATAAATAAATAAATACGTGGTTGGCGGAGTGTATCGAAATGTGTTTGAACCGTAATATACCCATCCAATATTGCTGCTTTTTACTAAATCAAAGACTTTTTTAAAAATAGAATACGGGTGACAAACGAGCACACAGCCGAGCCATAGACAAGAGATTTTTATATAATTAAAAATGCACGTATAGATCCACACGCAGTAAAGTTTTGAAGGAACTGTTTCCGTGGTAGAAGCTACCGAACACGCGTTTTCGCGCCCAAAGATTGTGTATAGTCATTCAGCGGGAAAAACGCAGACAGCGTTCCTAGCTCTATACTGCGGGTACTATATAATATTTATTTCCTTATTTTTATAAAATTAGGGTGACCAATTAACTCACAGTCCACTTAGTTGTAACTAGCACCTGCAGTCCATGGAGCCCTGCAGCCGACAAAGAACATACAAAGAAGGCTACAGTTGTGTTGTCACCCCCTGAGGACAAAAATGAAATACCTCACTGCTATTTCATGGCAGAAAGAGGTAAGAAATTGAAAGGAGGGAGAAAAGAACCACTCATTAATTTAGTTTTTGTGTTTTATTAAAATAAATTATTATGTCATCCAAATAAAATGTATTAAATAAAATAAATAATAAAGTACATTAATTTTAATAGCTATGTTCAAAGGTCACAGATAAAATATTTAATAAAATTGAAACGAATGAAATTGATAACGCAGTATATTTTAATGGCGTATATGATATTCGATGAAGTAATTTCAGTTTGAAATCGTAAAATGTACAATCTAAATAAATACAAATCTACGACAGTAATTTAGACATTTTTGATCTAAGCTCCATTCTGACGGGCGCGAAATATTTGACATTCGTATCGAATTTAACATCAATCAGTTCACTTTTAAAACACATAGTATTTGAATTTTTTCAACTCGCTATTCGCGGACCAAATAAACTCATTTACGAGTACCTCAGTTGAAAGAATCCACGATCGGGAGCTCCGATACGGAGCGCAACATAATCGCTGGTAGGTAAAGGGAATGCCAACATTTATTACTGTCCTTTGTGTGTGGAAACGAATATGGAACGAGGTTATAGGGAAATGTGCTTTAGAAACGTACTTCGGACACACTGACTTGTAAAATAAAGCACCTTGTATAGTGACCTAATTTTCTTAACAACCCTTTTATTGTTACAAAACAAACACAATAATCGCGAGGAAATATTTAATTGACTCACTTTCTTTTATTTTATTTGGTAAACATGTTACAAATTTTAATGAATCATTGTAGGTACATTTTTTTCTTTCTCAATTCCATTAAGCCTCCATCTAAATTATCGTGCATCTGAAATATAATACTGCAATATTAAAAAAATATCAAAAGCTTGCGCATGTAATTTTAGAATGATACACGATCTCCTGATGAATGATGCACCTGACGGTAAATTACTAGTGCAGACGTCTGCAACCGACTTCATACAATTAAGGTGTATCCTCCTCCTGAAGATTTAGGTAGAAATACCTCAAAGTCCGTAATATTCCTTACCCTTAAAACTGCAATACACCTGTAGGCTCGCCGGCAGAAATAGGAAACGACCCAGAAGGAATCCTAGATAGAGAAAGACTCCGACTAGGAAAATATCCCTAAGTGTAGCTGAAATACATCATATTTCGAATCTCTCATTGAACAACAACAACATTGAACGTTTGTATCGTCTAAATAATTCATTCAGATTTAATCAACGTTTGTCCGTGTCACATTTGTATATTATAATGTAAATCGCCTCCTCGATACGGTTTTTCCAAATTTATTTTAATGTTAACTTGAATGAAAATTTTATTAATTAAATATATTTAGCACATTTACAAATTTTAGAAGTTTTGGGCGCTAACCACGTTCGCAGTGGACTCGACAATTACATACGTAAAATAAGTTTTATTCAATGTGTAGTGTTACACATAAAATTATGAAATTATTAACGTTTACCGATTTTTGTAACACTACTTTGTAACAATAAACGTCAATTTAGATTTCATCGGAAGCTTTTAATTTAATAGTTCCTACATTGACGTAATAAAAACTGAAAGCCCGATAACATTGGAACATTAAATCTTGCTTTGAAATTTTCATTACTAAACTGGAAGACTGAATATTTTTTACTAATCATAAGCCAGTGTGACTACACCCCACCTGGTGGTAAGTGGTGATGAAATCGCACTGTCTTAACGTAAAAAAGCCTTCACTCTTGCCTTGAAGACGACAAGATTGTAATCGGAAAGAGAGACAGACACCAGCGGATTGTTCCTTTTCTATACGAAAGACAACAAAGGGGTTCTGCCGAACGTCTGGTGGTCTAATGGTGGAAAATGAGCAAGGAATTAAGACGCGTAATTACGCAATACGTTATTACGCAAGTAATCTTATGACTACTTACCCTAAAACTTGTCCTTGATTTTAAATCAAAATTTTATAACTCAACGTCCCATCCAATTCAATGGATTAAATCACATGTACAAAAGTGGATATAAAATTGTCTCTTGCAGGAATATATCATAGCGTCAGACCGGCGTTTCTACATTAACTATGCAAATCAAGTTGTTAGCGACTGCACGTTGAACCTTCAAGAACAATTTTCAGTGAATTTATTAAGGTTTACTCTTAAAGGTCAAACTATATGTTAATATAACCTATATAGCTTAGACTGTGGTTTAGGTATACATAGCTGACCTCACATGCAGACTAGAAGACCTAGTTTGTAACAATGATAAAAATCTGGCAATGATTATACCGACATTTATAAAACATTTCAATATTTTTTTTTTTGTAGGATAGGGTGCAAACGAGCACACAGTTCACCTGGTGGTAAGTGGTTGCTGCGGCTCATAAACATTCTAAATCTATCCTCGATTACATATCAAAATGCCGATGCGTTGTCATCCGTGAGGACTAAGATGAAATGCCTCGTTTCCAGTAAAAAGGGTCTCCAGTTCTCTACACTTACCACACGAAACACAGCAGCATTAAGCTACTATTTCACGCTGGTATTCTGTGAGAGCGTGGTCCTTCCCCTGTCGAGCCAATACATTCGTGCTACAACTATACTATTAATATAACTGCAGCATGGCTCTACCACGTATACCCGATTTAGTACTAAATCCATGATGCATTTCCAGGACACGGCTTTGTGACATTCTTGGGGGAGGCCTATGTTCAGCAGTGAACTTATGAAGGGCTACAGTTATGATGATACTTCTTCTGTAGTAGAAAGGATGTGCCTCAACCGCAACCCATGGCAGGCACACTGGTGGTCACAGTTCAGGACATACTGGGAACTTTAAGGCTGGCTTAAACAAGATGGTTATACTACTCATGAGAGGCGCATGTGCAGTAGTAAACTTCAACGGGCTGGTAAAAAAGAAGTGGTACATTATTTAGTTCTAAATTTCTATCAGTCAGTTACATAAATCATAATAATAATAATAATAAGGTGCTGCACAACCACCCAGCAGCCCCTCGCATCCATCATCCCCACCAGCTGGCTTGGTGTCGGCAGGGTCTTCGCGGGCCCAGCAATCGGCACCCGCCTCTGGTGGAGTACGCCGCATGCGTTGGACAACCCAGATGAACATCAACGCATTGCGGGCGTATTTTAGGACGAAAGGGGGAGAAACTGGATGTTTGGCGTATCGGGCTAGGATGCATCGTCTTTTTGCTGAGCTGGAGCCATCTTTAACCGTCACAGAGCAAAACCTGGCAGACCGAGTCCGGTATATCTTGCGCTCAAATATATTTGATGTCGCCGAACTCGAACGGCTACGACGTGAGGCTGTTCCCTCGTCGGATGAGAATGCTACGGCTGAGGATGCGGCGCCACAAATGGTAGAGCAACCCGCAAACGTGGATGCCGCCGTGAATACCCCAGTTGTGGTTGATTCAAACGATGATGGAACAGTCGCCCAGGAACTGGAATTAGAGCATATGAGGAGTACATTGGAAGAGGCGATTATGGAAACGCGCAGTACGCCTCTCGAAAATCGACCGCGACTTCCCCGCATAGCCCTAAGCAAGCGGAATCGGGCTGTCGTGAGGGCTCTGAACCCAATGCTGGTGACCTATTTGGAAGCCAGCCGGGACCTTTGCGAGACGGACTCAATTCTTTTTGGCGCCGCGCTGGCAGTCTGCCGTATCATAGGCGCCAAGGTTTCCACGGCTGGACGCGCTACTGGCCATAGTAGCGCTATCCCAGCATGAAGAAGAAGAATTGAGGAGCGTATCGCAAAAGCTAGAGCTCTCATCGGCAGACTGATATGCTTCAGATCAGGCAACAACAGGCCAAGAATTGTGCGCACCGTCAGGATGGCGTTTGCTGGGACAAATGTCAGTTTGTCCCAGCCGGATATAACGCAAAAACTGACGGAGCGCATAGATGATCTGAAGCAGAGAATCGCTGCTTGGGGAAAGCGGATTCGGCGATATACCGAGAGGTCGACACGGTTCAACCAGAATCGTCTCTTCCAGAGTGATCAGAAGAGGCTCTATGAATCATTGGAGCGACCAATGGTAAGTGGAACGGGTCCAGCACCGAATCAGGCCGACACTGTAGCATTCTGGCGCGGCCTGTGGTCAGAGCCCGTAAACCACAGCGAGGGCCCTTGGAGGGAAGTTGTGGCGAGTCAGTGTGCGGGTATTACGCCCATGGACCCCGTCATCATAACGCCGGATGACGTAGCTGAGGCGGTCTGTAGGGCCCCGAACTGGAAAAGTCCGGGGCTTGACGGGCTGCATCACTACTGGCTGAAGGGGTTCATGGTGTGTCACTCTGTGCTCGCCCGACAGTTTCAAGAGGCTCTCAACCAGAAGTCGCTCCCAAGCCTCTTCACTACTGGGATCACTCATTTGGTTCCTAAAGACCAGGGTACCACAGACCCGAGCAAATACCGCCCCATCACGTGTTTACCGACCATATACAAGACACTAACATCCATTTTGAGCGCGAGAATCACTTGTCACCTGGACTCAAATCAGGTGATGTCGCGCGCTCAAAAAGGATGTCGGGGCGGTGGTCGTGGAACCAAGGAACCACTCCTCATTGACGCGATCATTGGCAAAGTGGTGAAACGCAACCGTCGGAACTTCTCCGCCGCCTGGATAGACTACAGAAAGGCATTCGACTCGGTGCCCCATACATGGCTAAAGAGAGTCCTCGAGCTGTACAAGATAGACTGTACAGTTAGAGACTTCCTCGAGCAGTGTATGGGGCAGTGAAGTACGATCCTTTGTCATCTAGGCGAGCGGATGATGGCTGCGGAGAACCACATAAGGATAAGAAGGGGTATCTTCCAGGGCGATTGTCTGAGTCCAATCTGGTTCTGCCTCTCTCTGAACCCTCTCAGTACCTTACTGGAGGGCTCCGGGAGGGGATTTCAGCTACGGAAAGGAGGGACAAAAGTGACCCACCTTTTCTATATGGATGACCTCAAGTTATTCGCCTCCAGTCGCTCCCATCTTATGGATTTGCTAAACATCACTTGTGAATTTAGCAATTCCATTGGAATGGAGCTTGGGACGGATAAGTGTGCGGTCCTCCATGTTGAAAGGGGAAGGGTTGCTAACTCTGAGGGCGTAGACTTATCTATGCCCGTCAACTTAAGGACCCTTTCCGAGGCTGAAACATACCGATACCTGGGTATGTCACAAAACATCGGTATCGATGAGACTGGTATGAAACAGTCAGTTTGCGACGTGTTTTATGCACGCTTGACCAAGGTGCTTAACAGCCTTTTGTCCGGTGTGAATAAGGCACACGCATATAACGGCTGGGTCATGCCTGTCCTCATGTATACCTCTGGCATACTCAGGTGGACTCAGACTGAACTTAACGCCCTGGATAGAAAAGTCCGCACTACCATGACGTCCCATAGGATGCATCATCCGAGATCGTCGGTAATGAGGCTGTACTTATCGCGGAAGCATGGTGGTCGTGGCTTCTTGAGCGCGCTCACCATGCATAATCGCGAAGTGTGCAGCCTCCGTGATTACTTCCTGGCGAGATCGGATGATCCATTCTATAAGGACGTCATTTCTTGTGATAAAGGACTTACCACCCTCTATCCTTAGCCAACGAGCAATGGCAAGACCCGGCAGTGCAGAGCATTTCCGACCGGGAGACCGTATGGAAGGAGAAGGAGCTCCATGGGAGGTTCTACAAGACTCTACCTGAGCCTTTCGTAGACACAGTAGCCTCCCTCCACTGGCTACGCTTTGGTGATCTCTTCGGGGAAACCGAGGGTTTTGTCTGTGCAATACAGGATCAGGTTATTAAGACCAACAACTATCGGAGATACAGCCTAAAGGATGGCACCGTCGACATCTGTCGAGCTTGTCGCCATCCCAGTGAGTCACTTAGGCATGTTATCTCCGGTTGTTCGGCGCTTTCTAACTCTGAGTACTTGCACAGGCACAACCTAGTAGCCAGAATTCTACACCAGGAGCTCGCTCTGAAATACGGTCTCGTGGATCGGAAATTGCCGTATTACAAGTACTTGCCGGAAGCCGTGCTCGAAAATGATCGCGCCAGGCTCTATTGGGACCGGGCCATCATCACAGACAGGACTATTCTTGCGAATAAGCCTGATATTGTGCTGATGGACCGGGCACAGTCAAGGATATTTTTGGTCGACATTACCATTCCGTATGACGAGAACCTCGTGAAAGCCGAAACAGACAAGCAAACAAAATATCTGGACCTGGCTCACGAGGTGACCGACATGTGGGGTGGTCTGCCGACCGAAATTATTCCTGTAGTCGTCTCTGCAAACGGGCTAATCCCAGTCAGCCTCTCGGGTCATCTGAGGCGGCTGGGACTACGTGGCGGACCGCTCCAGGTTCAAATGCAGAAGGCGGTGCTCCTCGATACCGCCCGCATCGTCCGCCGGTTTCTTTCCCTTTCCCCCTAACCCTCGGCCGTTTGGTCTCCCCTGCCGAGGGCCTCCATCTGGTTGGGCTTTTATTTATTTATGTACTTTTATATTTATTTTATGTTATTGATATTTATGTATATTTATCTTTTCATTTTCATTTATAATTATATATTTATAGAACCCAACCAGATGAGAAAACTATATAGATACCCCATAATAATAATAATGTCCTCCAGACCGAATTTCGGCCACGGCGGCCTGCCTCAACGGAGGCTAGCCATCGGCACAGGACAGGATTATAGTGTCCAAGTGTATGCGCAAGCACAGGTGCACTCTCTATTCCCTCACTCTCGTAATCCGATGGGACGGTAAACCGACACGACCGAGAGAGAGATCAGGCGCAGGACCAATGGCTTTACATGCTTTCCGAGGCACGGGGGTGAGACACCGCCAACTTCCTGACTCCGGGCAGCTACTGAGAATTTTTTGACAGAAAAACTCAATAATTGATTTTTTGCCCGACCCGGGACTCGAACCCAGGACCTCATGATACTACTACAACCACTAGACCAACGAGGTAATCAATAAAATAAATAATACAATATACTTCAATAGAAAACAATAAAACAATTCAAGCAATATTTCACTTAACAATGACATCGGGATGTCAGTCACCTCAGTCCCCCGCGACCATGGGTGCTGGCACTCGAAACGTCGGGAATTAAAAATAAAAATAATTAAAAGTAAAAATTAAACGCGATAAAATCCGTAAAAGTAGTTTTAATCAAAATATTTCACTTATTAAAATATGCTTTGTACAATACAATTGACACTTATGTAACAAAGTGGAGAAGCCGAACATGTGAAGTGGTAAAATTGAAATCTCATTGGTCGCGACAAGAGCCCGGGCTAATGACGGGGTGATTGGAGGTATTTTATTTCCGGGCGCACCCTATCTGGCTTCGGTCCATGTTCCGGGAGCTTCGTGAATCGTATTGCCGATAAATCATTGTCTAACTGTTACTAGTTCACCTTGTTTTTCTTATATGTACTATCGCTTTGTCACTCGGCGATCTTATCACTTATTTGTCCTGCATCCGTGTAGGGACAAAACGTTTTATTGCGATTCATATATGTTCTGTTTTTTTTACATCAATATTTGGTTACTATGTGGTAAGGTTACTAGGATTATGTTACCTATTTCTGCTGTCAAACATTAGTACGTGCTCTGCTGTACTATGTTCCCATCTGAAGGGTAGAGTAGAATAAGGCTTTCCAACTTAGTACTTAGAATGAAAACGCACCTGTAGTCTTCTTTATTTGAAGATGGCTGCAGAGGTCTATATGCTGCAGGATTCTCTTATTAACCACCAGGTGGACTGTGCGTTCGATCTACACTACAATTTTATAAAAAAGAAGATGACGTCTCGGTAGTCAACAACTTTTATTGAAAACATAGTTTCTTTTTACCGACTTCAAAAAGAAGGAAGTATTCAATTAGACTGTATGTTTTTATGTCTGTAATGTTACCTCAGAACATTTTTCTAGTTGAATCGATTTTGATGTTTCTTTTTATTTGAAAGCTAGGACTTCTCATGTCGTTCTATATAAATTTGATCAAGATGCGATCAGTAATTTTTAAATTACATTTAAATAATAATTTTGTCAAATATTTATTATTTATCCTTAAATATTTTATAAGTGGTAGAGCCACGCTGCAGCTATATGGAAATGTAATTGTAGCACAAATGGGTCGGCTTGACCGTGGTAGGATGACGCTTTCACATAATACTATTGAATGTAGAGAACCGGAGAACTCTTTTTACTGAAATCGAGGCATTCCATCTTAGTCCTCAGGAGTGACAACGCATTTGTATTTTAATTCTTAATTGAAGATAAATGTGGGCTGTGTGCTCGTTTGTCACCCAATGCTATAAAAACGCGTATTTAATCGACTTTGAATACATTGAATCGGTCGTATTGAAGTCGAGCGAAGTGCCAGATAGTCTCGCATCTAAGAAGTTAGAACACTAAATCTTCTGGGTCTTTCCTATATGCTTCCTTACGATACCCTAGAAATGAAATGAGATAATATTTTTTCTTATTATCCACTTCATTACAAGAACTAAAACATATCAAAATATAATAAAAAATGTGATAAATATTACCTTCAAAAATTTACGCTTATTCTAAGAATTTTGACGAAGTTCGTATTTTTAAAACCATTCATGCGAGCAAATTGATTCATCAATTAAACATGAAGCCTCCTTACGGTTGATTTGCGGTGGAAGGCCCGGTGCAAACGTTCGCTGCAACTTCGCAGTGGTCAGG